ATGATTATAGCTCCGTAAAAATGTGCACACAAGTGTACAAGGGCTGGAAGGTGTTGAAATAAAAATAGCTACAGTGTTTGGAAGGTGAAATACTGTGTTTTAAGTTTTTCAGCTTAGATGTCATTTTGTCTTCAATTAAATAAGTAGAAGAAGGTATATCAGTTAAAAAAGAATCTTATTCCTAAACTTCCCCACTAGACAAGGAGAGCAGGGACCCTGCCTGTCTTGTTCAAGGTTGTTTATCAAAGCACATGTCTGGCATGTGGTAGGTGCTCTGTAAGTATTTGTGGGCTGATTGACCACTGCTGTCAGCCTTTCCAAACAGGGTTTAATAAATCACTGATAAAGGCCTCCTGCTTTTGCCAAGATGCCTTTACCAGCACCTTCACAGTCTCCAAAAGTAAAAACAGCTTCCTTTACAGGCAGCTTTTCAAAACCCCGCATCATCTCTCCCCCAGAGTTGCACTGGCAGAAGGAGGACATCACTTTAAAGCCACCACCGACACCAGGGCCAGTCTAGGTGGGAAGAACCTTCCTTTTCTTTGGCAGCTTCACCCTTGGGGCAGATCCTCACAGGGACACAAGGGGGAGCAGCTTGATCCCCAAAGTCATCTGGACACTAACTCTTTACACCAGGAGGTGGCAGCCTACGCGCTTCCTTACGGCGGAGGGCCCTTTGACAGTTCATCGTTCAGAGTCCGCCCATGGTGAGGGCGTGACAAGGGTGGCCAGGCCTCAGGCCAAAGTCAGGAACAGATGGAGGCAATCAGTGCCTGCTGTGCCTGGTGCTGTGAGAGATGGCATCTCCCCCATTTTACACTTGGGGAAACCAAGGCCCAGACAAGCTAAGAGACTGCCAAGTCCCCAACCCCTAGTAGAGTAACATTGCCCAGAGCTGAGCCCAGCTCTCCTTACTCCAGTGCCCACCCTCTTTCCATTACACCATGTGCCTTCCGGTCCCCTGGCAACAGTAGTCTGAAAAAGTAGGCAAGGATGTTTCTAAACCTTTGGTTAAATGCTATTTATTCATTCATTCATTTATTGTTGTTGTTGAAAGTCTGCTTATTTCCCAATTTTAATTCTAATCAATTGCAAGAACTTCTTAACCAGAAATATAGTTCCTGCACTAAGGAAGGGAATTTCTGCTTAATGATGCCTAATTATTAATTTCCACCATTTATACTTGTCAGGAGTAACCAACAAATAGGCTTTCATTTTTTGAAGTTTTGTGAACAAGTCTACTGTACAATTTCTGCTAAGTTAAATGCTTTTTGTTTATTTATTTTTGGCTGTGTTGGGTCTTCGTTGCTGCACACGGGCCTTCTCTAGTTGCAGCAAGCGGGGGCTACTCTTCGTTGTGGTGCGTGGGCTTCTCGTTTTGGTGGCTTCTCTTGTTGCAGAGCACGGGCTCTAGGCACACGGGCTTCAGTAGTTGTGGCACACGAGCTCCGTAGTTGTGGCGCACGGGCTTAGTTGCTCCGTGGCATGTGGGATCTTCCCGGACCAGGGCTCGAACCCATGTCTTCTGCATTGGCAGGCGGATTCTTAACCACTGTGCCACCAGGGAAGTCCCTTAAATGCTTTTCAAATCACCATGCAAATTATCAAATTGATCCTATCCTTTGACCTTGAAATACCACTTTGGGAAATGTGTTCCAAGGAAACAAAAATATGCAATATATACTTATAAATATATACATTTTATGTATTTTGACATATAAAAAAATAAAACAAAGGTGCATACAGAGATGTTTAGATCTGAGCTTCATATTGCATTTAAAACTGGAAGTGGCCCAAATGCCTGACCACGGGCAGAAGCTGGGAGGATCTTGCTGTAGTCATTACACTGACACTGAGAATGGTCATTGTGAAGATTGGAGCCGATGTCCAGCACATCACACGGGCACTATCATACTGGACATTAAAATATTAAAATAGAAAAAGCAATAAAAGCAAAAATAAACAAATGGGACTGTATCAAACTAAAATGCTTCTGCACAGCAAAGGAAACAGTCAACAAAATGAAAAGGCAACCTACTGAATGGCAGACAATATTTGCAAATCACATATCTGATAAGGGGTTAGTATCCAGAATATTTAAAGAACTTATACAACCTAATAGAAAAATGCAAACAATCTGATTTTAAAATGGGCAGAGATGAGTAGACATTTTTCCAAAGAAGACATACGGGTGGCCAATGAAAAGATGCTTCACATCACTAATCACTGGGGAAATGAAAATCAAAATCAAAATGAGATATCACCTCACACGTATCAGAATGGCTGTTATTAAAAAGACAAGAAATAAGTATTGGTGAGGATGTGGAAAAAAGGGAGCTCTTGTGGACTGTTGGTGGGAATGTAAATTGATACACCCTCTACGGAGAACAGTATGGAGGTTCGCTAAAAAACTAAAAATAGAACTACCATATGATCCAGCAATTCCACTTCTGCGTATATATCCAAAGAAAATGAAAACACTAAGTTGATAAGATATCTGCACCTCCATGTTTATTGCATTACTTATAGTAGTCAGGACATGGAAATGACCCGAGTATCCATTGATGGATGAATGAATAAAGAAGATGCAATATATATATATATATATATATATATATATATATATATATATAAAATGGACTGTTATTCAGCCATAGAAAATGAAATCTTGGCATTTAGGACAACATCGATATAGGACAACATGGATGGACCTTGAGGACATTATGCTAAGTGAAATAAATCAGACAAAGACAAATACCACGTGATCTCATATGTGGAATCTAAAGAACAAAAACAAAAATCCCAAGCTTATAGACACAGAGAACAGATTGGTGGTTGCCAGAGGTGGGAGTTGGGGGCGGTGGGCAAAATGAGTGCAGGGGGTCAAAAGGTACAAACTTCCAGCTATAAAATAAGTCACCAGGATGTAACACATGGCATGGTGACTGTAGTTGCTAACACTGTCTTGCATACTTGAAAGTTGCTAAGAGAGTAGATCTTAAAAGTTCTCATCACAAGACAAAAAAAAAAAAGATAAAACTAGTAACTAAGTAAGGTAACACATGTTCACGAGACTTATTATGGTGATCATTTCACAATATATACAAATATTGAATCGTATTGTACACATAAAACTAATGTTATAGATCAATTATACCTCAATAAAAAATAAATTTTAAAAAATTCTTAAATAATTCCATATCAGTTGGCAAATAGTAGGGACTGAGTGTCCCCCCCCCAGCCTCCCTGACCCCTCCACTAGGGTCTTCCTAGATCTCCCCATCCATCAACTAAATGTGAAATTGCCTGGTGCAGAAGGACCCTCCAGGACCGTACACTGTGCAGTGGTCAGTACACATCCTAGAACCAGTTATTAAATATTTTTAAACCTCCCCTGGCTAAGATTCTGTACCTTTACAAAAAGGGACCTTATTTTGGAATGAGACAAGAGATACAGGGATAGATAAAGAGAGACATTATATGACTTAATCAGGAAAATGAAGTAGAACTTGATATAATGAATACAGTTGGCCCTCCCTGTCTGTGGGTTCCAAAGTCAATTCATTTTATGTAAGAGACTTGAGCATCCTCGAATTTTGCTATCCACGGGGATGCTGGAACCAATAACCCGTGGATCATGAGGGAGGATTCTATAAGGAATAGCAATGACACAAACTTGTATTTGCATAAACAAGACAAGAGTCTGTAAATATTCTGTAAATGAGGGAAACACCCTTTCCCCCTCTTTGCTTCTTTGAAGAAAATTGCAGGGTTTTTTTCACTCTCCTCCTACTCTTCTGACAACGAAGTAGTTTGGGGAAGGCTGAACCTGGAGGTGATCTGGATGGTAGCAGAGCAAATCTAGATTCCCTGAGCCAGACATGGCAGCTTATCCCTCTGGCCAAGGGGTGGATCTGCATCAGCTGGCGATGTAGTTCAGGCCGGGGAGGTGGAAGGGAAGTTGGCTGGGAAGATTATAGCAAGCCTTTCTTTTCCCATCTAAAGGGACCATGACAGGAACATCCCCTTTGTTTCCTTTGAGGATATCTTGCTTAAAACTAAAGGCAAGGGCTTCCCTGGTGGCACAGTGGTTGAGAATCTGCCTGCTAATGCAGGGGGACACAGGTTCGAGCCCTGGTCTGGGAGGATCCCACCTGCCACGGAGCAACTGGGCCTGTGAGCCACAACTGCTGAGCCTGCGTGTCTGGAGCCTGTGCTCCGCAACAAGAGAGGAGGCGACAGTGAGGGGCCCGCGCACCGCGATGAAAAATGGCCCCCGCTCGCCGCAACTAGAGAAAGCCCTCACACAGAAACGAAGACCCAACACAGCCAAAAACAAATAAATAAATTTATTTAAAAAAAAAAACTAAAGGCAAACATCTTGCATCCCCAAAGGGAAAGCTAAGGGAATTTCAGGGAATAAAAATCTTAGCCATGACATCTTTGAACTGCTGAATGAATCACCCCTGAAGGTGCTCTACTACTAGCCTTCTTGTTATTGTTCAAGCACTTTAGCTGGATTTGCTGGTATTTGCAGAGTCCCACTAGAATGTAGGCTATTTGTTTACTACTGTATCTGTATGATCTATGACACTGCCTGGTACGTAGCAGACCCACCATAAATATTTGTTGAAGGGATAAATGAATAAAAAGCATCCTCATTGATGTAGGAGGGTATTCAGTTTTCCAATGGTCTTGGTGTTAGATTTTTCTGTTTAAGTTTAAAAAATATCCAGTCATGTTGTTGACCATCTATTGTCTCCAGTGCCTAAATGTTATGGGAAGAGGAAGACCTGGATTTGAATCTGGATCTGCTACTTACCAGTCAAGTGTCCTCAGGCAAATTCTTCATCTTCTCTGAACACAACTGTAAAATGAGCACAACTACTAAATTATAGGGTTGCTGTGAGGCTTAGATGAGAAGTGGCCACAGAGCTGGGCACATGGGAGGGGATCAGTTGGTGTGTGCTTCTCACTTCCCTATATCTCCATATCCTCAGGTACCAGCTGCCACGAAGGCTGAGTTCCTCCTTGACCTTGAGAAGGGCCTCATGGGCCAGGGGAGGAGTCAGACATATCAACAAATCAACCAACTGACCGATGTTAACATCGCCAGAAATGGGACAAAGTGACATCATACAGCTCCTGATATGATACCCTGAGATGAACCCAGCATCACCTCTGGCTACCCTGGCCAAGTCTGCACAGCATGAACCCAAGGTAAGGAAATATCAGACAAACCTAAAATGAGGTACTTTCCACAAAATAACTGGCCTAGATACTTCAAAAATGTCAATTGTCATGAAAGAGCAAAAAGAAAAAGAACAGGGAACTGTTGTAGATTAAAGAATACTAAAGAGACATAACAACTACATGCAATGATGATCTGGGAATTTTCTTTACTGTTAAGGACATTATTGGGATAATTTGTGAAATCTGAATAAGATCTGTATATTAGATAATTAGTATCAAAGTTAATTTCCTAACTTTGATAATTATTCTCTAATTACATAAGAGAATTTCCTTGGTTTTAGAAAACATACACATTGAGGCAGTAGAGGGGTATAATGTCTGAAAATAACTCATAAACTGTTCAGAAAAAAATAAAATTATACACCCGGGGGGGAGAGTGAGAGAGAATGAGGAGAAGGTTAAAGCAAATGTGGGAAAACATTAATATTTAGGGAATCTGGGTGAAAGATGTACAAGAATTCTTTGTCCTATGCTTGCAACTTTGCTTTAAGTTTGAAACTATGTCCAAAAAAAAAAAATTTAAAAAAATTTTTAAAGCAATACTAGAGCCATGTCCTGAAGGACACTAGGAATTTGTGGGTTGGAAAAGGAGACTTCCAGGCTACGTAAAGACCTAGGAAAGTATTCAGGAAGCCGCTAGGTGCTGGCGGGTCCATTTCATAGAAAACTGCATTTAAACAGGTTCTGGAAAGAGGTGTCAGCGTCCTCCAAGCAGACAACAGGAGGAAAGGCCCTTCAGTCAGTGGCCAGATGTATGAGAGAGCAGGGCACTAGCAGGCAGAAGTTAGGTGTGGCCGAGGGCGGTAAAGCTGGACATTCAGGTTGGGGACAAATTGCAAAGGATGAGTGCCCTGCCAGGCGTTGGGACTTTATTCTGCAAGCAGGGAGTGGAAGATACGATCTATGTTGGAGACAGAGGGGAGGATAAATGGAGAAGAGCAGGACGGCAGCCAGGCCACAGGTGACTTGTGCAGTGTCTGGGGAGTGAAAGAAGATGCCAAAGGCCCAAATGATAGCCCTTTGGCCAAAACGAGAAGGGCAATATGTACATCCCACCCCCCAACCCATGGGGAAGCAAACTGGCACACCAGTTTTGGTGCTCTGATTCCTGTTTGCTCTGCATTGCAGAGGCCACAGGACATTTGACTCTCCAGCATGGGCAAGCCCCCAGCAGGCTTAGGGGGTGGAGCAGACACTGATGCGCACAGCAGGGGATGGAGGGCCACTAGCCATCTCATAGTGGAAGGCCTTCGCTAAACTCAGAAAACCAGCTCCGTTCCCTGTCCTGGCCAACGTGGTCTCTTCCCGTCCCTTCAGTGCCTGATTTCCCAAGATTCCAGTGGGCTACCCAAGGGACTGTTATGGCCGGTTCTGCCATGTTTCCACCCCAGGAGGCTAAAGGCCTGGCCACAAATTCAGTTCCTTTTATTGCACAACAGTTGGGCATTTTCGAATCAAATTGAGCCAATCCATTCATTCAACATTCAACAAATATTTGCCGGGTGTTACTGTGTGCTTAAGGGACTTATCTAAGTGGAAAGGGGAAGTGGGTAGGGCGGGAACATGGCTGGGCTATATTGTAACGAGAGTGGTTTTTCCCTTGGCGTTTCATTTGGTATATCCGAATTAGATATTTGTTTCTCATCAAATTTGAAAGGAATTGTTGTCTTTAAGTCACTCCTAGCCTAATGAGGATGCAGCCCAGCACCAAGTGGCACTAAGGGGCATTCTGAGCAGCATAGTATACACTCACGGAGCAAGATGATCCCCGTGTGGCCTGACTCATGCCAGGGCCTCTTCGTAGTCAGGGTGGTTCTGATGACAGTGACGATGATGATGATGTTGAGCAGCTCCTATGTGCCAGGCACTCTGCTAAATGCTTTCTGCACGTTCTCTCCAAACCTAACCACTTAATCCTGAGAGGTAGATATTTTATGCTTGAGGAAACTGGTTCAGAGAGATCGATGGATTTGTCCAAGGCCACACAGCCACTTAGGGGCAGAGTCTGGATCTGAACTCAGACCTTCTTGTCTCTAAAGGTTACGACCATTCCGGTGTTGTGCCCCTTCCCACCGCTTCGAAATGGGAAGGAAGTTTCAGGTAAATGACTAAAAGCATCCCCCAAGGCGACGGTCCTCAAACCTTAGCAAGAATCAGCGACACCCAGAGGGCTTACTAGAACACAGATGGCTGAGTCCGTGTTGAGGTGTCTGAGGTGGGGCCTGCTGATCTGTATCGCTAACAAACCCAGGTGATGCCCACGCCGCTGGTGCTGGGATTGCTCTCAGGACCACTGCCCGTAGGGAGGGCAGCGAGTTGACTCTACTGGTCCCCCACTCCTCCCCCACCCCTCTGTTAAGTTCGGCGTCTGCACAATCTTGCCATTTCCCCCGTCTGAAGAGGAGGCCGAGGCTACTGCTGCCTCCCTTCTGCTGTCTCCCTGGGAGCCTGTGTTGGGCGGCAGGAGCACAGAGCGTCCCTGGCTGAGCCCTCTCCTCCCACCTGCGCACAGACTCATCTGCTCTCGGGTCACTGCCCTCTCTCTCTGAGCTCCACCGTCGTTCCCAGGCTCCCGAGCTTTCGCTCACTTGTTGATTCTCTGCCAACCGACCCTGCTGTCCTCTCCTCGGTCAGGTGTGGTGTGTGAGCTCTGATCTCCTACAGCACCCTCTCCTGAGCTGCAGGGAACGTGGGACGCAGAGGTCGTCTCTGTCACCCGAGATCCTTGTTCCTCTGGGAAGATAAACTTTCTAGCAGCTTGGTAAACTTCCCAAGTTATAGTTTAACATGGGAACATGTGTTTCAAAGGCTCATGGACTTTTAGACTTGGAAAAGCCTTAGCTGAAAGGAGGAGAAGAAGGAAACGAACACTTACTGAGAATCTGCCATGTGTCAGCACAAGGCCAGAGGCTTAGTGTGTGTCACAGTATTTACTCTTCACAGTGATCCTGTGAGTTCTGGTGTGTGTGTGTGTGTGTGTGTGTGTGTGTGTGTGTGTGTGTGTGTG